TAAAGCAGCAGAGTCATTTACTCTGAGATTTGGGGGGAAAGGATGATATTTAAAACAACTAGATATGGACTATTTGTCCTGGGACTTCCAGCTGAAGAGACCTGACAGAGCAGACCCAATTCCTTTGAGGTTAAGCTCCCAAATGCTACATTTTCTCAAAGGACACACCCTCCGTATCAGCACCAGCAACTGGACAACACCCAGAAAGCCAAATCAAACTTTACAAACCCCATTGCCATAACAGTTCTTTAAACCAGACAGTGAAAATGCTTTTCAAGTTTCCCCAGTTTTCAGCTTCTCTGAGTTCTGCTGTCCGGCTCTCCATGAAATTCTTTGGATTTAACTCTTTTATAACTTATGTAAAGGCATTCCTAAACCTCTTGATCTTTTTAAAAACTCTCTAAGTGGCCTACAAAAATGCAACATGAAAATAATCAACAGCGTTATAAAATAACAGAGAGAGTACATTGAAAACTAGCTAAGCGGCATTATTGAAAACAGGAATTCGGTAATAACGAGGTCCAGTCTCATGGGCCAGCAAAAGCCTGAGTGAAAAGAGTTACATCTTTATGTGGCAGCGAAGCAACTGATGGATATTTCAGTAATTAGCTCCTTTCAAAAACATCTTTTAGAAGTATTCTTCTTTCGCGTAGAGGGAAGGGGTGGGTGTGGGGGAATGAAGCCTCTGTTGTGCCAAGATTGAGAGAAAACCACAAAAAAACAAGGATTACCATAAACTGATTTCAATTTGAGATGGCGCTGAACTTTGAAACAGCTTGTTTTTTTGTTTATTTGTTTGCTTTTTCTGATTTCCTTCATACTGTATTACATTTTCCTTTTCTTGACTTTACGACGCAGTTAAATACATCATCCCATAGCATTTCAGTTATGTGGAATTACGCTGCATCGCCGCGCCAAGTTGTCTCTTCCTTATGTTTAAATTGCATCAGGCTGATCAGGGGAGATTGAGTCCATAATTGTCTTGCCAGTTTCAAAGTTGTCTCTTAAGGCTTGCTTTTGGATAGCAGAGATCTAAGGTTAGGGCTTGTATCGCCCACCTCTATTGACTGGACAAAAAAAGTGGGCGGGTGGGGGGGAGATGGATGGGAACAGAGTGCCTTATGTTTCAAGTTGTAGTGGTAAGTTTTAAACTACTTGCCTCTGATAGAAAATGATGGTCAAGGGCCCAGAGAAAGCCTTTGGTTTTGGACCATGCTGGTATGTCCATCATAAGGACACATGGATTGACATTAATAAGTAGTGAGCTTACTGAAATTCACTCTCTATTTGGGGACACTTAGGGTCCCCACAAACAACCCGTTTATTCAGCATCCATCTGGATTTACTTGCTTCAGAGCTTATGCAGAGGCTGGATTGTATCTGGTCTTCACTAAGCATTAAGAACATCAGAAGAGTCTGCTGGTGTAAGGAAGGAGGCCAACAGTAGGGGGAGTCAGAGCCAATGGCAAGAAGAGCCATTGACGATTTTCTCCTCAGCTTCCTCCCTGCTGAGACCAAGGAGGAGGAAGTTGACAGTCTGTGTACTGTGTAAGTAACCCTGTACTGGTTGTAAGAAGGCATGCTGTTGGGGGCTGGCTGGAGGCAGACTGAGATGGGTGGGACGGTGCCCCATTTGCCTCCACTAATGAAAATATAGCTGGGTCTTGCAGCTTCTTGGAAAGGAATAGATGTGTTAAAATTACAGGGCAGCCGGGTGTGTGTGTGTGTGTGTGTGTGTGTGTGTGGTCAGGGCAAATGAATGACTTGCCCAGAAGATGAAGGACTTCAGCTAGAGAGCCCAAGAGGGCTTCTGTTCCATTTAAGAGTTGCATGTGCAAGCTGCTGCACAAATTATTGGCTTCCCATACGACCTTTGCTGCCTGATCCTGTGCATGGTTTAATTCGGTGCCTCTGTGTTTGATCGAGCTTCCTTCTGCAGGGACCGGGGTTCAACCCCCCCCCCCCAGCTATGAAGCTCACCAGGTGACCTCGGGCCAGTCACCTTCTCTCGAGCTGAACTTTGTATTTAGTTAACCTGTGGAACTCGCTCCCACAGGAGGCAGCAATGACCAGCAACCTAGATGGCCCGAAAAGAGGATTAGAGGATTGGAGGAGAAGGCTGTCAATGGCTGCTAGCCATGAATGCTCTGCTCTGCCTCCGCTGCTGGAGGAAGTAATGTTGGGAACAGCAGGAGGGGAGAGAAGCTCTTGTGCTCGAATTCTGCTTGCAGGATTCCCACAGCCATCTGTTTGGCCACTGTGAGGAGGACAGAAGACTGGACTAGATGGGCCACTGGCCTGATCCAGCAGGCTGTTCTTAAGACAAGATGCTCTCCATCATCTTGGAAACAAGGTGCTCTCCATCACTTCATGTTGCCCAGTGCCTACTGGATCAGACTGGTTCTCTATTTTCCTTCCCCTGCCCCATATACTCCCAGAGATTGGGCTGTAGTGGCAGCGAGGCAATTTGAGCCCTCTGCCTCTGATTTTGCCACCGGGCTCTCCTGCCGGGCGTGTTTCTAGCAGATGCCTTTCTATTGAATTAGTTCTCTCTGCACCCAAATGGAGGGAGGGGAGATAATTAGGTTTTCATTAGCCAAGGATGATGTATAACATCTGGAGGTCCCAGCCAGGCCGGGGAAAGGAGAACGGTGTGTTGATGGTGCCTGCGCCTTTGACATGCTTCTACTGCCTTTGCTTAATTGGTTTTCGCTTCTCCTTCCCTTGCCTTTGTTTATTAGAAGCGATCTCTCCTGCAGAACACATTCCGCTCCATCCTTCAAGGAGGAGCCCAGGGCAGGAACCCAGCCAGTGTGGAGTAATGGTTAAAAGGCTGAGCTAGGACTTGGGAGAGAGCTTGGGTTCAAACCCCAAGTCAGCCACAAAGTGCACAGGGTGGTTTGGCTTGGGGGAGGGCAGTTGTTGTTGTTGAATGTAGTTTTGGGCCAGCAGCTTGCATGGCTTTAAAAAGAGCATTGGACAATTTTCATGGAGAATGGAGTTCTCAGTGGCTATTAGCAGCAGTGGCTGCCTTGTACCTGTGTTTAGGCCCGGTTTTGGCACAAAAACTGCTTTGGTCACCCAGTAAGATGACCTCTGTCAGGAGAGAAATGGGGGAAATGTGTCTCTGTTAATTCTCCATGACCTCTCAGCAGCTTTCGATACCATCAACCATGGTATCATTCTTGGGTGACTGCCCAGGTTGTGGGTGGGTGACGCTGCTTTGCAGTGGTTCTGGTCCTTCTTTGATGGTCATGTCCTGAGGGTGATGCTTGGGGAGTGCTCTTTGGTCCCATGAGGCCTTCAACATGGAGTTCCTCTGGGTTCAGTTTAACCCCCCATGCTGTTTATCATCTACATGAAAACGCTGAGTGAGGTCATCCAGAGTTTTGTAGTATGTTACCAGCAATATGCTGATGACGCACAGCTCTGCTTCTTTACCTCTGCAGGTTTGGCAGATGTGCTGGACTCTGTTGTCTTGCCTCGGTGGTAGATGAGAGCCAACAAACTGAAGCTCAATCCAGATAAGACTAAAGCACTGTTAGTGGGTGGTTCCCTGGACCATTTGGATGGGAAGTAACTCTGAGAAAAGGATGCTGGACCAGATAAGCCATTGGCCTGATCCAGCAGGCCCCTTCTTATGTTCTTATGCTGTGTTCTACGTTCACTGTTGGAGTCAGTACTGTACACCTCTGGGTACTGGTTGCTAGGAATTGCTAGTGTGTAGGATGCTGTCGCACTTGGATCCTGTTTGCAGGATTCCAATGGGAATCTGGTTGCCCCCTGTGAGAACAGGGTGCTGGATCAGTTGGACCACCCACTTGACTGAAGGCAGCCCTGTTTAGGGAAGTTTTTGATGTTTAACATACTATTGTATTTTAATATTTTGTTGGAAGCCTCCCAGAGTGGCTAGGGAAACCCAGCCAGATGGGTGGGGTATAAATAAATTGTTGTTGTTGTTGTTGTTATGTGGTTATAACTAAGAAGGCAGGCAGGGAGGGCTGGTTAAGGGTAGACCAATGGCGTAGCGTGGGGGGTGCAGGGGGGGCTGGCCGCACGGGGTGCAACATCTGGGGGGGGCGCTCGCACTCGCAGCTCTCTGCCCCTACCTGGCTCACTCACTCTCTCTCACTGCAGTGCTGGCTGTGTGAATCCGATCCGAGCCGCTGGGTCACCGCCCAATGTGGAGGGGGTGGGTGCCAGGTGTGCGGTGCGGAGAGAGAGCGAGGGACTATCTGGGGGAGGGACAGTGCAGCGGCCGCCCAGCGCAGCGCTGAGCGCGGGAGAGAACCACACCAGACCAGACCAGGCAGCAGCAAGAAGAAGCTGGCAGCGGCGGCAGGTTAGGGGTTAGGGGGCGCAAATTACTTGCCTTGCCCCGGGTGCTGACAACCCACACTATGCCGCTGGGGTAGACTGAGGTTGGTGGGGCAGTGGGCCATTCACCTTACAGGACCATCTTTGGCTCTGTTCTGCAAAGCACCTGAGTCTCAACCAGAACACAGTCAATTTCCATTTGCAAATCATCAGAACCGTCACTTCCTGATCAGGTGACAAGAAAAACTCTTGATTATGAGCAGACTCTGCATACATGTGTGTGTTTGCCTGAACGCCTAATGCGTTGCCATGGAAATCCAGAACTATTACAAAGGCTGATGTCAAACACAAGTCTCCATTGTACTTAAGAAGGTCTAGATAAATGGGGGTCATCATGATGTTAAACAGCACACAACATATGCAATGACTGATTCTGTTTGAGACTCCTGGAACAAAGCCACCCACCCATTTTTAGGGGAGAGGCTGTGTCTTTCCTTCTTAGGTGCAGAAGGCAATAGTGGAGAAAGGGTGTGGGTTGGTTTTACGGGATATTCATTGGCCACTGTGGATAGACATAGGCCTTATGCTGTGTCAGGCCAATGGTGCATCTAGCTCAGTATTGACCACACAGGTTGGCAGCAGCTCTCCAGGGTTTCAGACCAGGCTCTTTTCCCAACCCCAACTGGAAATGCCAGGGCTTGAACCCAGGACCTTCTGCATGCAAAGCAGATGCTCTACCATGGAGCTATTGGCTCCTTCCACAAACATGGGGACCTAGGAAGCTGCCTTATACAGAGTCAGAGCATTGGCCCAATCAACTCAGTGCTGTCTTCTGTGACTGGCAATAGATGCTATACCGCTGAGCTATGGCCCCTTCCTTTCCTGACGTGGTTGAGGAAGACCTACCAGGGTACTACCATTGCAGACATTGACTCTTCAGCTGCCATGTTTTGTCCATTCACTTTGTATGCACAGGGCCATTGGATCATGCACATCCTCTGTTGTATTTGCCCTGTGCTACTTCCCTCTTCCCACCCCCAGGACTTTCAGAAGAATCCAACTTTCTGGGAAGAACAGAACAATTCAAGTTACAAGAAAGGAAATTCCAGCTAAACATCAGGAAAGACTTTCTGACAGTAAGGGCTGTTTGACAATAGAACGGTCTCCCTCGGGAGGGCTCTCCTTTCTAAGCGGAGACTGGATGGCCATCTGTCATGGATGCTTTAGCTGAGATTTCTGCATTGCAGGGGGTTGGACTAGATGACCCTTGGGCCCCTTCCAATTCTATGATTCTATAAATTGCGCAATCCCTGCAGGATTTTTTCATCCAGCAACGTTGTGAGATGTGCCATAACCCTTTGAGATCAAGAGCTCGCTCCCATGCATAGCAAACTTTGCCACATCCGCCACTGTTACTTTTCCGATCGGTTCAAATTTAGCAGGATGTTTTGTTTAATCTTTGTTTTAATTGGAGCCTATCCACCAAACCTTTTTTTTTCCCCCTGGCATAGTGGCTAAGAGGCTGAGCTAGGATTTGAAACATTCGCAAATCTCAAAGGCAGATTTCAAATAAATGACATCGAACAAACAACTGGCCCCTAAGTCCTTGAGGACAAGGAAGAAAGTAGATTGGGGAAGTGTTATAGCTCAGTGGTAGAATATCTCCTTTGTATGGAGAAGGTCTCCGACATCTCCAGGTAGGGCTGGGAATGTCCCCCAACTGATATCCTGAAAGGCCACTGCCAGCCTGTGTAGACAATGCTGCTTCTGGATGGCCCAATGTTTTGATTCATATATGGCAACCTCCTATGTTGCTATACATGTTCAGCCCTTTATTTAGAACAATGAGGACTATAATCTTAAATTTTCTTTCAGGGGAAGGGCCATAGCTCAGTGGCAGAGCATCTGCCACTGCATGCAGAAGTTCCCAGGTTTAACCACCAGCGTCTCCAGGTATGATTTGGAATCTCCACCATCTGAAACCCTGGAGAGCCACTTCCACTAAGTGTTCACTAAGTGAGAGCCACTTCCACTAAGTGTTCACTAAGGGGTCACTAAGGGGTCACTAAGTGACCCCTTCCATATGTTGTTGGCCTACAACTCCCACTATCCCTGTGCTAGCTGGGGCCAGTGGGTGTTTTTGTCCAACATCTGGAGTGAGCCACATTGACTATTCTTTCCTGTAGTCATTGCTGAGTAGATGGGTCAATAGCTTGACTCAGTATGAGGCAGCTTGCTTATGCATAGCTCAGTTGGTTAGAGCATGGTGTTGATAACACCAAGGTTGCAGGATCAATCCCCGTACGGGACAGCTGCATATTCCTGCATTGCAGGCGGTTGGACTAGATGTTCCTCAGGGGCCCTTGCAGCTCTACAGTTCTATGATTCCTACCTCCTAATAAATCTCTGGGCAATTTGCAGCAGTGGTGCCAACGAATAAAATATTGGGGGGCCCAGGAAAGCCCTGCCCTGCATAACTGATCAAAAGACGCAGTGCACACACACACACCATTTGAATGGCAATTCCCATCAACTTTGGGTGGGCCTGGCCTCCTTAAATATTTTATTGGGGGGCAAAGGGACCTTGGTTCCTAGGAATTTACTCCTATGCCCTGAGGGTTATCTAGTTCAAAGCCTCCATGGTATGCAGGAATCACAGCTGAAGAATCCCAGAATCCCTGACAGATGGCCATCTAACCTCTGCTTAAAACCCCCCAGGGAAGGAGAGTCCGCCGCCTTCCAAGGGAGACAGTTCCGATATTGAAGAGCAGGCAGAGGAGCATTTCTGGCACCTAATTGTATAACAGCAGCAACACCCAAATGAAGAAAGCTAACCAGGCTTGTGTCGAAACAAAATAAAAAAATTCCTTCCAGTAGCACCTTAGAGACCAACTAAGTTTGTTATTGGTATGATCTTTTGTGTGCATGCACAATTCTTCAGAATTCAGAATCGGATTTCTTCAGATTCTTCAGAAGTGTGCATGCACACGAAAGCTCATACCAATAACAAACTTAGTTGGTCTCTAAGGAGCTACTGGAAGGAATTTTTTTATTCTGTTTCGACTACGGCCGATCAACACGGCTACCTACCTGTAACCAGGCTTGTGTGTAAAACATTTCTGAGCTCAGTTGGTGCCCTCTCCTTTAATTTTGACTGTTATGTCTTTTGTACCTGTCGCTCATTAGTAGATCTTGGGGTTCTAGTAAAAAAAAGGGGGGAAACCCAAAAGAGATTTTTTAAAAAGTCTGGTGTCTGTCCTCGCTACCCTGCTCTACAGTACTTCTCAGTACTTCACATCTGCACCATACTTTTAAAGCACATGGCTTCTCCCAAAGAACCGTGGGAGCTGTTGTTTTTTCCTTTCAAATAGCTGCCGTTCCCAAAACCCTTAGCAAACTTCACTTTCCAGTATTCCTCTGAGGAAGCTCTTCCTGGGAGCAGTGGTTTGTTGAGGGTGCCGGTGAGAGTTATTAGGAGAGCCCTTCCCCCTTCCCAGAGCTACAGTATCCAGAGTGATGTGACCATCCTCTTCCAAGGGAATTCTGATGTTTTAGCTCTATGAGGGGTATAGGAGTCTTCCAAGCAACTCTCCCAGTAGTGATGTACGGAAGTGAGAGCTGGACCATAAGAAAGGCTGATCGCCGAAGAATTGATGCTTTTGAATTCTGGTGCCGGAGGAAACTCTTGAAAGTCCCATGAACTGCAAGAAGATCAAACCTATTCGTTCTGAAGGAAATCAGCCCTGAGTACTCACTGGAAGGACAGATCCTGAAGCTGAGGCTCCAATACTTTGGCCACCTCATGAGAAGAGAAGACTCCCTAGAAAAGACCCTGATGTTGGGAAAGATGGAGGATACAAGGAGAAGGGGACGACAGAGGATGGGATGGTTGGACAGTGTTCTCGAAGCTACCAGCATGAGTTTGACCAAACTGCGGGAGGCAGTGGAAGACAGGAGTGCCTGGCGTGCTCTGGTCCATGGGGTCACGAAGAGTCGGACACGACTAAATGACTAAACAACAACAACAACAAAGCAACTCTCAGCACCAACTACAGTTCCTAAGGATTCTGTGGAGAAGCCACACCTGGTTAAAGTGGCATAATACTGCTTTAAAAGTATAGTGCAGATGGGGGCACTGTGGGCCAAATAATGGCTTTCTGGGGCTGCACAAATGTGTGGGCTCCCAGTGTGGACCTTGCAACTACTTTGTTCCTCTGTTGTCCTTTTTTACTCCCATAACCACCTTCTGTGCTAAGCCTAGGCATGTTGGTATGTGGTCTGAACCCGGGATAGCTCTTCCCTTGCTAACCGTGAGCTATACACAAGAACAAACCTTTACATGCTCCCAGTAAATATGCAGTGTGGGCTCACTGTGTCCTACAAACCAGGCCCTGGATTGGTGAAATGAAGGCCCAGTTTTTAAAAACTGAATAATTTTTTTATTGAGGGAAGTCTTTCTGGTAGTTCCAGCTGGTGCCATTTTATCCTTTTATTGACAGTTTCCTTTTGATGCAGTTTTTATTTTTCTTTGTTAATGTTTCTTTTCCTTTTGAAGAAATCTTTCAGTAGCTCTGGACTGTTATTTTTAAATGATTTTTTTTTAAAATTACATGTTTGGGCAGAGTTGTCTTTTCCCCAGCTGCATGCCCAAATCATGTCCACAAATATAGACAGTGTGTGTGTGTGTGTGTGTGTGTGTGTGTGTGTGTGTGTAGGCTGGCATTCAGATCTGATGTCCTTGGGTCAGTCACTGTCTCTCAGTCTAACCTACCTTGCAGGGTTGTTCTGGAGATAAACTGAGGGATGGGAGAACTAGGGATGCGGGTGGCGCTGTAGTCTAAACCACTGAGCCTCTTGGGCTTGCCAATTAGAAGGTCAGCGGTTCGAATCCCCGCAACAAGGTGAGCTCCCGTTGCTCTGTCCCAGCTCCTGCCAACCTAGCAGTTCGAAAGCACGCCAGTGCAAGTAGATAAATAGGAACCGTTGTAGTGGGAAGGTAAATGGTGTTTCCATGTGCTCTGGTTTCCATCAGGGTGTCCCATTGCACCAGAAGTGGTTTAGTCCTGCTGGCCACATGACCCAGAAAGCTGTCTGCGGACAAACGCCGGCTCCCTCGGCCTGAAGGCGAGATGAGCGTCGCAACCCCATAGTTGTCTTTGACTGGACTTAACCGTCCAGGGGTCCTTTTTTAATGTATTCCACCTTGAGCTCCTTTGAGGAAAAGGTGGGATATAAATGCAATAAACAGATAAAGACACACAGAGAAACATACTACACACATACATAGCTACACACAAGCATCTTGTTACATCATAAGAACTGTAGAGTTGCAAGGGAGCTCAATGGGACATCACCTTGGTAGAGTTGAGCCCAGGGATTCAACTTTCAGTATCCCCACCACAGAATCCTTGACGTCTCCTTTTTAGTACAGTGTGATCACACACACACAAGCAAACAGACTTTTAATGGCTACTATCCCCGGTGGCTTTCTACCTCCACTATCGGAGGTTGTTGGAAACCACAGGAGAGAATTTCTGTTGGGCTCAGGTCCAGCTTGCAGGCTTTGCATAGGCATCTGGTTTGGCTACTGGGAGAAAAGGATGCCAGACTAAATGGGCCACTGGCCTGATCCAGTAGGACTCCCTTTCCCCCCATTTTAGGGGCTTCTCATTTGCACGGCTGATGGTAAAGAGAAATTCATCCCTTGGTTTTGCACCTGGATACTATGCACGTTTACTCAGAACTCAACGCCACCGCATTCAGTGGAGGGTTAACCTCCCCACGCACACAAATCCCTTTGGACTGCAGCTTTAATCCCGTCTAAATGGTGCCTAAACTGTCCCTATTCAGGGCAGACTTCCGTGGGAATAAGTCCTATTGAATGCGGTGGGATTTATTTCCCAGTAAACACGCATAATAAGCCGTCCCAACCCATACACAGGCCCTGTGCTCACCACAGGTTTATCTAGTTTCACTCCGGAGTGAGTCCCAATGCATTCGGTGTAAGTGTGCAAAAGATTTCAGCCTCGCATAATAAAATCCTCGGGGCCTTTATTTCGTCGGCAAGGGGGGAGGAACAAAAAAACCCAGGGAGTCCAAGCAGGTTTACTCGGGAGCAAGTCCCGCTATGTTCAATGGAACTTACTCCCTAGTATAAGCGCGCAATTTCGGAGGTATCCGAGGTACAGCCCTGCTCCGAGTCTAGCCATTGAAACCAATGGGCCTCGGGCAGTCGGGTTTGCCCGTTTCAATGGGTCTACGCCGAGTAGAGCTAGCATTGAATCCGAGGCATGTTCGGAGCAGAGCGCGCCTAGGTTTTGCAGCCTCGCCCTGCGGAGTTGCAGAAGCCATGAAACAGGTCCTGGGGTTTTATTTTTTGCGGGGCGGGGAAGGGGGCGGGCGGGCGACGCGCTCCCTCTTCCCGGGAGAAGGAGTTTGATTCGGGCTCCCCCGGCGGGGCGTGGAGCTGACGCGCTTATATAAAAGCTTTTCTGACGAGGTGGCTGGCGAGGCCGCCTCGTCGCTGGCTGCGCCCCCGTGGTTGGCCGTCCCGCTCGACTCGGGGGCCGTGCAGAGCGCATAAAGGGGACCCGGCAAGCCGAGCGGAGGCGCAGCGTGGCAGGGCGAGCCCACCGGCGGGTCGGGCTGCCCCCTCGCCCCTTCCTCCCTCCCTCCCTTCTTTCCCCGGGAGGGAAGCCGAGGAGGCGGCGGCGCGGGAACATCAGCAACCGGGAAGGGGCGGAGAAGGAGGAAAAGGACGGCCGGATCGACGGGCGAGGCAGGCGAAGGAGGCGCCGGCCGAGCCGACAGCTCCGCGAGGACTCGACGGTCCCGGCCACCCACCTCCGGCCACCAGGTGAGCGCTCCCTCCTTCCGCTGAATGCATCACATGCCAAAGAAAATAGGAACCGGGGCTCAAGCTATCTTTAGTCTCTCTTTAGTCTCTCTCTCTCTCTCTCTCTCTCCCTCTGTCTCTGTCTCCGAATGCGCAAACTTGGCAATACTGTCCTAGCCCCCAAGATTCGGTTCGAGTTGGCTCTCTGCACATGCTCAGAGGCATTCCTGACTTGCCATGCTGCCTCTACTCCTCTCCTCCAAGCCCTAACTCGGCAACATTTCTCCTTGCCCCCCAGGTCTGGTACGATGTTGCCGAGGGCTCTCCGCACATGCCCAGAGGCACTCCTGAGCCCCGGCTTGCCATGCTGTGAGGATGAGTCCTCCCCACTTTGTTTTGTTTTTATAGGTTCGGGGGATCAGCCTTTAGTTCGGATTAACTTGGTGGGGTTCTATCGTCTTTTTGAGGAGGGCGAACCTCTTCCTTGCCCTCTGAGCAGTTCGTAGGCGGGGAGACCCGACGTGAAAAAAAACTAAGACGAAACCCAGCAAAATGAGCCCCTCCCCGCTGCAGGGAAAAGCTGGAATGGGGGGGGGGGTGTTGAGTTGATAACTCCTGAAGCCGGAGAGAAAGGCTCGAAGCCTTTAAGGGTGCGGGGGAATCTGACCCCAAGCGTCGGTTTGTGTGTGTGAGAGGGTGTAAGTGGCCCCGTCTTCTTTGCCCATCGAGCCAGCCGTCGAAGCACAGACGCCTTCGGGGTGTCCGCCAACTCGGGGCAAGCCTTGGAGCAGTTAGGCGGGGTTCCCCTCGCTCCATGACTGGGGCTGGGTCACTCACCGGTGGTTTAGTTCTGCTGTTCTTAACAGACGTGGGGGCCAGAGAGTCTTGCCTTAGAGCACTCCCCCATCCCTCTTCCCGGCGATCTCTGATCTAAGCCTCTTGTCTCAATATACCGGGCGGGGAGAACAAGGGGGAGGGGGGGAGCCTGCCCTAGACTCATAGAAGCAAAGTTGGAAGGGACCCCGGGGATCATCTAGTCCAACCGCCTGCAATAGTTTGTCCAATGTGGGGCTCGAATTCACGACCCTGAGATGGAGTCTCATGCTCTACTGACTGAGCATAGAGTTGGACTTCTGAAGTCACCTAAGAGCTTCCTCTCCAGTGCGGGATCTGCAATACAGCAGGGAAGGAGGCTCTCCCACCCCCTCCTCCCTTCTGTCCTGTGTCAGTCTGTTCCACAGTCAAACAGACCTTGGGAAGTTTCCCTTAGAAGCGTCGCCGGAATCTGCTTCTCTGGAAAACCCCACCCCTTGAAATCTTCGCCCTGCCTTCTTCTGGAGCGACGGAGAGCCTCTTAAAACTCGTCCGTCCGCTTCTCTCCCTGCCAAGAGGCGTCCAGCAAGCCGGCTTTGCCAGCGGAGCCAGCCTTGGAACAGACCCATCCGCCAAGCGAGGATTGTGCGTGCTCCTGGACAGAGTGTAAGCAACCGGGTTTAATTTGGGTTAAGCGGAACTCCAACGCTCAGGGCGGGAGTTTAGGAAATCCAATCGGGTGGCGCCGCTCTTCCTTGGGACCCCATGGGGAAACAGTGGGGACCTACTTCTAAGCAAACGCGTCTACACGTCTCTCTGTCCCGTCCCCCCTTTAACCTTTAGCTTCAAAACCAGAGCAAACCGAGGCTAAATCCGTATTTACATAGGATAGCATAGAATACTTAATACTGAAGCAGTGGTCCATCTCGCTCAGGATTGCCTACACGGACCGGCAGCTGCTCTCCAGGGTTGCAGGCAGGCTCCGCGGATCGAACCAGGGACCTTTTGCGTGAAAAGCAGGCGCTCTGTCCCTGAGCTACGACTCTAACCCATTTAATCAACTCTACTTTGCTGAGGGAAAGGCACACGCCCAAAGGCACTGTCGAACCGGGAAAGTCATGTGTTTTGAAGTGAAACGGGTTGAAATAGGTTCCGGAGCTCAGTAGAACACCCTCCCTCCCTTGCGCGCGCCTTTTTCTTCTCCAGACTCTTTATGGTCTGCTGTCCTGAGTAGGGTAACTGGGAAAAATCGTAGTTTGCAAAGGGGGGGGGACTGGGCTCGGTTCGATCCAGTCTCCTGCTTGCTCCCCACTTCCCAAAATCGGGGCTCCATCTTCGCAGTTTCTGGGCAGATGCTTCTCCTTTTCACGTCGGGGGGGGGAATAAAAGCTGTTCCATCAACCAGCCCGAATTAGACTCCATAAATTCACCTTTCCATCTGGTACAGGAGAGAAGGGAGACAAACGAAGGGAAAACGTGAATAAATAAGACAGGTTCGGAGTTTTGTTTTGTTTTCCTCTTTGGTTTATTCCGGGGACTCTAGCAGCTCCAGATTGCTTCCAGCGACATTTCACCGCGTGAGTTTCCCGTCTTCCCATTTCTCAGACGGTTAACAGAGGCTGCAAGCGCACCAATAAAATAATCGTTCCGGGCGCGATTTGGACCGGAGAGCAGTAGCATTATGCTGTCACGCTGTAGCTGAGAGGGGTTTTTTGGGAGGGGGGTCGGCTTTCCATTGTCCGGCAAGAATCGTTTGCTGTCAGATTTACTCGCCATACCTAGAAAGGTGGCAGGTAATTAGATACCCCCGCTCCCAATCGTAACGTGTGAAGGGGAGGGTAGTGTTTGGCGAATGCTGACAGAGGATGTTATTTTTAGGACTTAATCCTAAACCCAAAATTTGTTTAAAATAAGGGTGGGGGAGCGTGAGTTTTGAGAGACGGCGTTGGGAGAAATCCAGCCCCTTGTTCTCTTTGCTGATATTGACACAGGTCCTTTTCCTCCGCTCCCCTCCCGCACTGACCCCGTTCGGCCAGAGTCCTCGCGGTCTCTCGCTCCTGGCTCCGACGGCGCGGACCGCCCTCCGCCAGGGCGCCTTCCTGCCACTTGAGCCAGCGCGCTCTCGGGGTTGCCCAGGGCGAGGCAGGCAGCCCTTGCTGGAGGGAGCCTAAACTCAGAAAGTGGGAAGAGGGAAGCGATTAAATCTGGGCGGCAAGGAGCCTTGAAAGAACTGCGCGTCTCTTAGTTCTAGAAAGGCATCCGGTAAAAAAGTCTCATTGTTCCTCTTCGGTTAAAAAGGGGGTCGGTTCCGAGGCGTATTCAGCACCTCAGGACGAGATCAGCACCTCGGACAGCTCCCCGCGCTAATGTGGTTCAGAGACGCAGCTGCGCTCCGCTCGGGGATTTACGGCGCCCCTTTCCAAGAGGTCCTACTTTTCTGTTGCTTCTTGCCGTAGCTAGCTAGCAAGGAAGTTGTGTGTGTGTGCATCTGGTTTGTTTCTTCATGTTTCCCGCTAATCAATGGGCTTACTTCTGAATCGGTATACTTATGCCAAGAGGTATTGAGGCATATTTACAGGTTTCCTTTAATCGTGCATTCCATCAAAAGAAATCCGAATTCCTGGGACGTTCTGTACTGTTCACAAGCTACTTCCGGCGATTAATATTTCCAAATCCTTTCAGCCGTCCCGGGAGCTGTTTCTGCCCGAAGACGCTCAACTACCTACCTGTGTGTTATATGTACTTGTATTCCTCCCGCCCCCATCTCTCGAAGCTGAGTGAGCCGAGATCCTGTGTACTTTTTCTCAAGATTAATTCTCACTGATAGCAAAGCCTAAACACGCAAGAACCCGTTGAACTCTGTGGGACTTACTTCGGAGTAGACTGGTTGCATTGTTAGGTTGCAGTCTTGTAGCTTGGAAGGTGGGAAGAGAGAGAATACTGGGGCTGGGAGTGACATTTAAACGTGGATTGCTTGTTGTCCCACTAAATCCCAGCTATCATGTTGTGGAGAACAGTGCCGTTTTCGGTCCTGGGTTCGAATCCTAATTAAGTGGGGATTGTAAAATGTCGCTGATACATTTCAGATTTGCCTTCTGTCTGTAAAATGTGAAGAATAGTCTCTCAGGTGGTGGATGAAGGAGATATGGAAAACATCCTACTGGGAACTAGAATGTAGGTGCAATTTTTAAAAAATACAATCTGAGCCCTTAAATCCACCTAATTACTTCTCTTCCCCCTTTCTCTCTTTCTCTCTCTGTGTGTGTGTTAGAGAGAGAGAGAGTTAGAAAACACTCTCCTGGACATGTGGGTGTGTGGTTTGTGCTGACCCAAATCTTACACAGCCCGTGGTTCCTTATTTGTTGCTATGATTGGGGTTAAGTTTAACTAGGCTTTATTTCACCCAGGTCAAAGACCCGGTTTTGAACTCTGCCATGCACCAAGAGAGAGACTGGGATCCTCAATGGTGCCCCTCTGGAGGCTTCACCCGGGGCAAAAAACCCATCTAGCTCCCTGTAGCTACGGCTCTGCACAAGTTACAGCCATTTTGGCTGGAGATAAGTTAGCGAGCTGGACCAAGGTCCAAATCTCTGTGAAGCTCACTGGATGTTTTTGGTGAAGCCACAGTCTTTCAAACTAACCTCCTTCACCAGGGTTGTTGTGAGGATAAAATGGGGTTGAAGAAAACCATGTATGCCCCCTTGAGCTCTTTGCAGGGAATGTGGGATATAAATGTAACAATGAGCGAAATGCTCAGTCTCAAGGGGGCATAGCTGAGTGGTTAGAGCATCTCTGTTTTGCATGCAGAAAGTCCCGGGTTCAGTCTTTGGCATCTCCAATCCTGGAGAGTCACTGTCAGTTGGTGTAGACAATACTGATCTGGAAGTACCAACGGTCTGGCTCACTACAGAGCAGCTTCCCATGTTTCCCATGATCTTATGAGTGAGTGAAAATGTGATGTTTGCATTCATTGTGTTAAGCTCTCCATCTCCCCCCCACCCCCAGCCAAGCAGCAAGAAGTCCAGAGGCAGTGCTGCACAAGGCTTGGCTTCTCTTGAATGAGAGTGCACTGGGAACCTTAATATCTATTGCTATTTTACAAATATGCATGCAGTTCATAGAGGAAGCAGCTCCTATGGCAGGCAGCACAACTGCAGAACCTGCATCAGATACATAGACAGGGCAACTGCTGTGGCGTCCCCTTCACCACCACCTCCCTAGCCCGCACACCAGCTGCATGGCACCTGTCTTGGAGGAAAGATAGGGGACAAATGCCATCAGTTAATGCATAGTTTAAATGAATAGTAAAAAATAATAAATTGTGAATTCTTAATAAATATTAATTTGTTATGTACTGATGCATCGTTTGCCTTTCCTCACAGTTCAATGCAGCACACACATTTCTTTGTTTGTTGTGTTTATATCCCACCTTTTCCTCCAAGGAGCTCAAAGTGGCATACACAGTTATCCCTCTCCATTTTACTCTGACAGCTTCCCTGTGAGGCAAGTTAGGCAGTGAGTAGCCCAAGGTCACCCAGGGAGCTTCATGGCTGAGTGGAAATTTGAACTCCTGGGGTCCTAACCCAACACTCTAACCCCCCCTCCCCTGAAATACCTTATCCTCACAACAAACCTGTTAGGTAGGTCAAGCTAAGAGAAAAAGTCAGCAAACTTTTTCGGCAGGGGGCTGGTCCACTGTCCTTCAGACCTTGTGGGGGGCTGGACTATATTTTTTTTGGGGGGGGGGGTTGAATGAATTCCTATGCCCCACAAATAACCCAGAGATACATTTTAAATAAAAGCACACATTCTACTCATGTAAAAACACACTGATTCCCAGACCATCTGCGGGCCGGATTTAGAAAGTGATTGGGCCGTATCCGGCCCGCAGGCCTTAGTTTGCCTACCCATGCTTTCAAGGCATCCTTTCTATTGCGCATTCACAATGATCTGTTCTCATGGTGGTATCAACCTGAGTGTATGTAATCTTGCTTTCAACACTCTTCGAGCTTGCAAAAGTTTTTTTGGGGGGGAAACTGCAGCTTTGTTTGCGATCTGTGCACATCCCAGAACTATCTCCTGAAATCCCGCAACGTTTTATACCACAAATGGGACTGCTATTATTATTGGTCCCATTTTTATTTTCTTTATTTTGTGCTATATTGCAAGAGTGCCCCTCCAGATGGCAATAATGTGGAAACATTGGGGGAGCATGGCTAGTCAAACAGAATGATGTTTGGGCGGTCCAGTACAAATCAACAATAAAGCACTCTTATTTGCTGAATGACATGACACAGAATACACCCCACCCCCCCAAAAAAAACCCCAGCATCATGGAGGGTCCCAGATTGACTGGTACAATGGTATGTGTTTTTTTTGTTTCAGAGCTTTGTGAAGTATAAGGGAAATTCCCTAAATATTCCATGCAGGGAAAGTGTAGGGATATAGGAGTAGAGAACAATTTTGCAAGCTAGCTGAAATATTAGCTATCCAGCCAGAACATTTCTAGACTCAAGAGCCCCCGAGCATCAAAACAGATGGGATGCGGGAGTCTTGCAACTGAGCCTTGATAGCAATTTCTTCCTCATTTAAAAAGTAGCTGCGTGGTTTTTTTTCTCGGAACAGTGATGCTGTGTTGGGAGGCGGGACGGGAAAGGGTCTAATCTTTATTGTTCCATATAGTTTTATGGATCTAAGTTGCCGCTTAAGGCTCCTATGAATTCTCTGGAAGAAGAGATCTGTTTCATGTCTGCATTTGCTTTCCACCAGGAGGTTCACGCAAAGCTACAGGAGGGGACTGATAGCCAGTAAGCAAGCACAGGGTAAAGGGCTTGGCTCCTCTCCAGGTACTAGTGCTCTGATTTTTTAATTTAAAAAACCCACCTCCCCACAGCTGCTTTTCAATGTGGGAGGGAAGAGACAGCTGTCAGGAGATTTCTGGTGTCAGACCTGTTTTGGCCCTCAGGGTAGAATGCTGAGCTTGGATCTACTATTGCTTCCTGGCAACCTGTTTACTGAATGTTCCACCTGATTCATTTCACTGCAAGACTAGAGGACGCTGACTCTTTAATGAGCGGCCACTCTGATTAGCTGTAGGGAAGGTTAGATGAAGTTACCCCACACTTTCCAGTGCATTTTTCTTCCTCCAAAGTCTTCTCAGTGGGGAGAGTAGGTTTGCTACACAAGAGCACCAAATGAACTAGAACTGTGCGACCCGAATTTCCCAAATTGCGATTGAATCCTACCCAAAAAATCCCACCATCTGGAAGACCCTTAGGGGAGAGACCTGGCTTCAAAACCAAGGTCATTTGTAAACTTAACTGGATCAAGCCACAATCTGCAGTTCAATTCTATACAGTGGTACCTTGGTTCTCAAACACCTTGGTACTCAAATGCCTTGGTACTCAAACGCCTTGGTCTCAAATGCCGAAAACCTGGAAGTAAGTGTTCCGGTTTTCTAATGCTTTTCGGAAGCCGAACGTCCGATGCAGCTGTCGGCTATTTTTTCCAGGGCACCTGCACCAATCAGAAGCTGCGCTTTTGTTTTTGAACATTTTGGAAGTCAAAAGTGTGGCGCTTTTGTTTTTGCTATGTATTTTGCGTTTTTGTTTTTGAGTCATTTTCGGTTAATTTGTTTTTGTGACTGTGTGGAACCCAGTTCAGCTACTGATTGATCGATTGATTGTGTGACTGCAGAAATGGATAAAAGCCCCCCATCCAAACCATGACTATCATCAGTGCAAGTAAGAAAAAAATATAATTTTATTTTTTACAATCTACAATATTGTCTAATTTATTTTATAGTACAGCACATCACATTGATTATTGCTCTCATTTTATGGATCAATGTCTCGTTAGATAGTAAAATTCATGTTTCTGTTTCAGGGGTTGTTTTTAAAAGTCTGGAACAGATTAATCCGTTTTGCATTACTTTCTATGGGAAAGTGCACCTTGGTTTTGGAACGCTTTGGTTTTGGAACGGTACTTCCGGAACGGATTAAGTTTGAGAACCAAGGTACCACTGTACCTGAACTATAGTGGCAAGAGGAGGAGTTGTGACTCACAAGGACCTGTTCACAGCTATTATGGGAGAATAGCCCTACTTTAGCAGAGAATGCTGCCTTTTGCTATTTGAGGAGTGGGAAAATGCATTGCAGGGGTTAGGACTAGATGGCTCTTGGGGTCCCCTCTCACTTTTACACGCAGCAGGTGTTAGCAGTTTGGTTGCCCTGTTTCATACAAGGTATTTCTATACTCAGTTGGTAGAAAATGATACTCTTAATCTCAGGGTAATGGATTCAAGCCCCACTTTGGCAGGGGGTTGGACTAGATGACCACTGTGGTCCCTTCAAACTCTACTGTACAAGTCCATGATTCTATCCTGGACCAGTGGCAGACATTGGCGTGTTAAATTTCAGCAACACCCTGTGTGATGGCCAAAATTCACCGCCCTCTGCCTCCTGCGCTCCATTCTAAATAATAGTTGCAGCGACTCTGAGGCTCTGTGCCCAGTGCGACCGAACCGGCTGCACTCCGCTAAATCTGCCTGTGCCACTACTGCTGGGTTTTGCCTGAGAAATTTAAGAGCTTAAGAAATGCTTGGGGGCACACTCAAATGTAAAGAAGCAGTGACCCTACTGGTTCTGAGCCTGGAGGTGACTTCCAGACATTATGACAGTAAGCTTTCACAGAGCAAGTTCCCGCAGCCCAGAAAGTCTAACTACGAACCCCTTCAAATTGATGTTTTTCTTCTTCTTCTTCTTCTTCACGTGCCTATTCTGTAGCATGTCATGGACACAATAATACTGGGGTGGGGGTTACTGGGTTGCTTTTGTTTTTATTTTGATGATGTATTTTGTGATTTTATTTTGTGATTTTTGTCTTGTGAACTGCCCTGAGACCTGCTGGTATAGGATGGCACACACATTTAATAATAATAATAATAATAATAATAATAATAATAATAGGTTGATTTGTACCAGACGCATCATTCCACTTTATTAGTTGTTCCTTAAGGCTACCCCAGTACCACCATATTATTGCCATCTTGGGGTGGGGGGGCTCTCTTCTGCTATAGCACAACAAAAGCAGAACAAAATAGAATAAACCAGAAAATCTGCAGTATAGAAAGTGACAGGATTTTAGAAGGAAGCTATATGGTCCGGGCAGTGACTGGAAACGAAGCAGGATGCCTGCCCCTAAACCTCTGCAAGTGCACTAATTGTATTAAGGTGAGCTTGTGTATAACTCTAAACTTTTTAGTTTAGAGAAGAGGTAGGTACAGGTAAAGGGACCCCTGACCATTAGGTCCAGTCGTGGCCGACTCTGGGGTTGCGGCACTCATCTGCTTTATTGGGCGAGGGAGCCAGCGTACAGATTCCAGGTCATGTGGCCAGCATGACTAAGCCGCTTCTGGCGAACCAGAGCAGCGCACAGAAACGCCGTTTACCTTCCCACCAGAGCGGTACCTATGTATCTACTTGCACTCTGACATGCTTTCGAACTGCTAGGTTGGCAGGAGCAGGGACCGAGCAACGGGAGCTCACCCCGTCATGGGGATTCAATCTGCCGACCTTCTGATTGGCAAGTCCTAGGCTCTGTGATTTAACCCACAGTGCCACCCGCGTCCCAGAGAAGAGGTAGCAGTTTATAAAAATTAGGCGTGACATGGAGAAGGCAGATACAGAAATTGTTCCCCCCCCATCTCATAACTCAGGCTTCCTCAACCTCGGCCCTCCAGATGTTTTGAGACTACAATTCCCATCATCCCGACCACTGGTCCTGCTAGCTAGGGATCATGGGAGTTGTAGGCCAAAAACATCTGGAGGCTGAGGTTGAGGAAGCCTGTCCTAACTCACGGACATCTAGTGAAGCTGAATGTTGGAAGCCTCAGGACAGGTAAAAGAAAGCATTTCTTCATGCAACACAGAGTTAAACTATGGAACTCCCAGCCACAGGAGGCATCGATGACCATCAACTTGGATGACTTTAAAAGAGAATTGGGCAAATTCATGGAGGAGGAGGCTATCAATGGCTACTAAATATGATGGCTAAGCTCTGCCTCCTTGGCTGGAGCTTCTGAATACCACTTGCTGGCAACCACAGGAGGGGGAAATTTCTGTTACACTGTGCAAATAGGATCCTTTTCATGGAATTTCCATAGACTTCTTGCTGGCCACTGTGAGAACAGGATTTTGGTCTAGATGGGCCATTGGCCTGATCCAATGGGGGGCTTCGCTTAAGTATTCTCACAGAAGTAAAAAAATAACAATAAAATAACTTGAGGAGGAGGAGGAGGAGGAGGAGGAGGAGGAAAATGGTGGCAAGCTACTCCCTGGGGCCCACACGTCTGCCTTGCCTTGCTATACCATAGTTAGGCTTCCTGCATCCTACCGAGTCTATGATTTTTGTCTGCTATCTTTTAAAGCCATCTAAGCCATCAGCGCACGTTGGGGCAGTGAAGTCCATAAATTAATTACGGGAGCTTTAAAGCGGTTGGGGATTTAATAACAGAACGTTTTGTGTTCCCTGGTGGCTGGAAGTATTTCTCCGCTTCTCTCTTTCAGAAGGGGATGTTCCCTTGCTAGTGGGAAGGGCAGAGAAACTGTGTGAAAGAGAGAGAGAGAAAGCGCAGTGTGGTTAGAGTGCTGGACTAAAGCCACGGGGTGCCGAGTTTAGATCCCTGCTCAGCTTCCGAACTGTCCATTGGGTCAATAGAGCACTCTCGAATTTAACATGGGAATGGCTGCAGCTCACTGCTACAACATCTGCTTTACAGACAGTAGATCCCAGGTCCAATCCTCCATATCTCCAGGCACAGCTGGAACTGTCCTGGAGAGCTGCTGTTGGTAGATGGACCAATGCCAGCAACTTGTGTTCCTATTTCCATTCAGCCCTTCATTTAGAGCAGTGCTTCCCAAACTTGCGTCTCCAGCTATTTTTGGACTACAACTCCCATCATCCCTAGCTAGCAAGACCAGGGATGATGGGAACTGTAGTCCAAAAACAGCTGGAGACCCAAGTTTGGGAAACATTTTTTGATTTAGAGCCTTGAGGTCTACAAACCTAACTTTCCTTTTAGGGGAAGGACTGTATCTCAGCAGTAGAGATGCCTCCAGTTCGAATCCCTGGCATCTCTAGGTTTAGAGACTCCCTGTCTTAAATTCTGGAGCGCTGCTGCCAGTCAGTGTAGACAATGCTGAGCTAGATGGACCAGTGGTCTAACTCTGTGTAAGGCAGCGTGCAATTGTAGAAAATGGACAGGGCCACCAGCTTCAGCTTAGATGGTTCCCCTTTCCCTGTCGGTAAAGTTAGATGGGTGTAACCTGGGAAGGTACTGAGAATCCTCGAGAGCCACATTTGGTACCCAGAGCTATTGCAATGCTTTCATCCCAATGAAGATTTTGTTGGTATTCTTGAGTGCCTTTGAATTTAGGCACTCTTTCCCCTGCCTTGAGTTTTGCTATCGGAGAGAGTGCAGAGGATTTATCTGAAAACATTTCACTCTCCCCCACCCCCAATGCACCGCAATCTCTCTTCTCTGCTCATATACACACAGTTTCTCTGCATAGCATGCATTGTCTGGATTTAATTTTTTTTAAAGCACTTTTTGGGAGGGAAGAAGTTAGATTTGTCACCTTGCCTGGACACATTTTCACAGATGGATGCCAGCAGGCTTCCCATTCCCCACTGTGACTGGAAACTGTTTGATGGAGTTGTTGCCAGGTTGGTCCTCGAGAAATGAGACACCGAGTCAGAGAGGGAGAGAGAGCAAGTGAGAGAGCTTTGACCGAACCAAAGTGCTCTTTGCCGGGGGAAGAGTAAACAGGCTTGCAAGGGGTTCTAAAATCTACAAGCAGGGTTTGCAACAAAGGCTGTGTGTGTATGGCCCAGATACATTATATTTATGAATTTGCATGAGATAGAAAACGTTGACTTGCTTGTTTGCAATATGTATCTCAGTGAAGGCTGGTCCATTGGGGGAAATGGTACTGCTCCACCAACCTCCACCTGCCCTCAGCCAGCCAACACCTGCCTGCCTTGTGACGTACAACCAGTCCCAGAGGTGGCGCTGCTGTGTCGTCTTCCTCCTCCTTTGTTTTCAGTGTAGAATTCAGCAGGGAGAAAGATGGGGACAAAGCTAGAATTAGTTAGCTCAGTCTGTCATTGACTCTGGCTCCACCTACTGTTGGCCTCCTGCATTACACCATACCGGCCCCATTGGGCATCAGCTACTGCTATTTCACCCTTCGCCCCTTGTATCATTCCTCTGAGCAAATCTGGAGTTTTCTCCTGCTGCTCCTTGGGAAAGTTTGGAGATCTGATCATGGATCTCTGGAATCATATAGGTGTAGCCCTAAGAAACTGAAGCCAGATGGGGGTTGCAAAAAATTGTAAGTGTTTAGATTAGGCTGATAGGAACCAGCTTGGTGTGTGTGTGTGTTTTGTGTGTGTATATGTATGTATGAATTTTGATGAGATAGAAACTATTCGTTTAATTGCATAACAACCAAGGGGTAGGCAAGCTGTGCAATAAATTCATGAAAAGCAAAAGTTTCAGTGCGGTTCTGTGAGAAAAGAAAAACACACCCCTCAAAAATCTGCAGTCGAGCCTTTCCTTTCATTTGTTGTTGTTGTTTAGTCGTTTAGTCGTGTCCGACTCTTCGTGACCCCATGGACCAGAGCACGCCAGGCACTTCTGTCTTCCACTGCCTCCCACAGTTTGGTCAAACTCATGCTGGTAGCTTCGAGAACCCTGTCCAACCATCTCATCCTCTGTCGTCCCCTTCTCCTTTCCCAACATCAGGGTCTATTCCAGGGAGTCTTCTCATCTCATGAGGTGGCCAAAGTATTGGAGCCTCAGCTTCACGATCTGTCCTTCCAATGAGCGGGCGAGAGAAGGCAAGCAAAATGCGAGGGAGATAGTGAAAGATACAGGAATTGAATGCAGATTTCCTTTCATTAGGCCAAGCTAAATGCCACAAAATAAAGATAAGTTTTAGTGTTATCCATCACTCTTAGTCAGTTAAGAAGTTACACAAACCAGCAAGTGGGGATGAGCATAAATAAAAACTTCAAAAAAATCAAAAATTTGGCAGGATGTTGTAGTCAGAAGGTCATTTTTTAGAGTTCGTTCCAAAATGGTGACTGCAACCTCAATAAGCCTGTGTACCTTCAACATGTTGTTCTAGAATCAATGGAGGCTGAGTACATGCAGGTCCTGCTATTGGAACACATTATGTGCGCGCATTATATAATGCATTAATAGCACATGCAACATACTATGGAAACACAAGACGAAACACAAGCCCCCTTAACAGTAATTAAAAAGCATCTTGGCCCAGTATACCTGAAGGAACGTCCCCACCCTCATTGTTCTGCCCGGACACTGAGGTCCAGCTCCGAAGGCCTTCTGGCAGTTCCCTCTCTGCGAGAAGTGAGGTTACAGAGAACCAGGCAGAGGGCCTTCTCGGTAGTGGCACCCACCCTGTGGAACACCCTCCTGTCATATGTCAAGGAAATAAACAACTATCTGACTTTTAAGGAAGCTTTTAATATTTGATGAATTATTGTATTTTAATATTTTGCTGGAAGCCGCTCAGAGTGGCTGGGGAAATCCAGCCAGATGGGTGGGGTATAAATAATAAATTATTATTATTATATTATTATTTGCAATATGGAAACAATAAGCAATGTTTATACCCATTCTAGCAGATAAACTAAACTCAGTCCCCGCCACAGTCCCCAAACCATTCACATCAACCCAATAATTCTTCCCCTTAACCTCCCATCCAGGACTCCTGTGTCAAGACTAACTGCTCCAAATCGGTGGTGGGTGGGTCCAGGGTTCTCCAGAGTTGGTCCGGCACCTCTGCTCTCCCTTCATAAGGGAACAGCAGCCAAAGCGGAGCAGGAAGATGGTGGCAAAAGTTTTGACTGCTCTGCTGTGGCCCCGGGGCCGTGATTTGGCAGCAGAACATCTGCTTTGCATGCAGAAGGTTCCTGGTTCAGTCATCGGCATCTCGCGGCAAGGCTGCCAAAGGCTCCCTGTCTGGAATCCTGGCGAGGTGCTGCCAGTCAGTGTAGACAATGCTGAGCTGGTCAGCTTCCTATGTTCCTGTGATCATACGAGCTATCAAATATATGAGATCTGTGTTCTTGGCGTTAAGTGTATCTCCTCCCTAAGCAGTAAGAAGTCCGGGGGCAGCACTACAAGGTTTGGCTTCCCTTGAATGGGAGCACACTGCAGACCTTACTTAGGTCTCCAACTGTTTCTGGACTACAACTCCCATCATCCCTAACTATCAGGACCAGTGGTCAGGGATGATGGGAGTTGTAGTCCAAAAACAGCTGGAGACCTAAGTTTGGGAAACCCTGGTGTAGACAGAACTGAGCTAGATGGGCCAATGGTTTGATTCGGTATAAAGCATTTCCCCCACCCCCCCACGTTAGATTCAAAGCGTTATTGAGAACCATAGCTGCTCAGCTTTCAACAGGGTGACTCCTTTTCTGCTCCTTCGGACTCTGCCCCGGGGCCTTCGAAAGATTGTGAAAGTTACGAGAAAGCTTCTGTTCTGTCTAATCTCTTTCTCTCTCCCCCTCCCGCCCCTCCCTACTGCTTGTATCCAGAATTACCGGGTAAGGCTGGAACATAAACACTTTTTATTTGCCCATTGTGCCAGCCTGGGTGCAGCTGTCCTTAAACTCCTAGGAGAATGTGCATTCTGAGTTTGTTATTACGCTCCTGTATGGAGAAAGGTGCCAAAGATCTGTCTGACTTTGGAAATGCTGGCAGCTGAATCTCCTTGATTGCGGTGCCAATTCCTCTAGGTTGGTTCTCCCACTTAATTTTTTCTTTCTTCCTTGAGCGTATGTTTGGAGACAAGCCATAGCTCATGAGCAGAGGACCCGCCTTGCATGCAGAAGCCCATAAGGATGTGGGTCTGCTGGAGCAGACCATTGGCCTTATCCGGTCCAGCATCCTGTTCTCGCAGTGGCCGACCAAATGCCTCTGCCCAGAAGCCTGCAAGCAGGACAGCAACTCTCCCAGCAGCCAGTATTTAGAGGTATAACGCCTCTGACCGTGGAAGCAGAACACACCCATCATTGTTAGTCGCCACTGATAACTTTGTCAGCCATCAATTTTTCTGACCCTCTTTTAAATCCATCCAAGTTAAACATCAAGAATAACTTTTTAATCTCCAAGTAAAGGTAGGAGAGACTCCCTTACCTGAAAGCCTGGAGTGCTGCTGCCAGTCAGTGTAGACAATACTGAAGTAGATGGGCTGATGGGTCTGGCTGTATAAGGCAGATTTTTAAGAATAAGAAGGAAACCCACCATCCCCTTTGTACTTGCTGAGCTGCATCCATATTTAACTGAAACCTGTGTTTGGGAAATGGCTCTTGGTCGGTATAGCATATATATCGTATTTTTTGCTCTATAGGACGCACCGGACCATAGGAGGGGGAGAACAGGGGGGGAAAAATCTCCCCCTCTCTGCTCAGCGCCCCTTCAGTGAAGCGGCAGGAGAAACGGAGCCCCTTCCATTTCTCCTCCCACTTTGCTGAAGGGGCGCTGCGCAGAGAGGGAAAACTGTGCAGCGCCTCTCCAGCGAAGCGAAGCCTGGAGAGCAAGAGGGATCGGTGTGCGCCAACCCCTCTCCCTCTCCAGGCTTCAGGTGGCTATCCGCAAGCCTTCGGAGCGCAGCGGGAACTCCTGCTGTGCTCCGAAGGCTTGCGAATAGCTGCCTGAAGCCCCCGGAGCTCAGCGAGAGTTTCCTGCACTCCGGGGGCTTCAGGTGGCTTCAGCGAAAGCAACGCGAAGCCTCCGGAGCACGGGGGGAGCTCTCCCTCTGCGCTTCGGTGGCTTCGCGTTGCTATCACTGAAGCCAAGGAGCCTGCATTCGCTCCATAGGACGCACACACATTTCCCCTTCATTTTTGGAGGGGGAAAAGTGCGTCCTATAGAGCGAAAAATATGGTAGTTTCAGCTGAGGTGTCTTAAACTGAAACACTG